ACACACATTATAAGGCAAGATATTTCAAAGGCCAAATGTTTAAACATTGCTATTACATTCAATTCAGCCTGAGGGTGTTCAAACTATTAATCGCTGATGGTCATTGGACTTCCATCCATTCAACCATTATCTAATGTGTGTGAAGCAAACAAAAAACGAAAATGCATTTTAATTAAGACTCTGAAACTTCTCTGACATCTGTATGAAAAAAGAAATCTGTTGCTGAATGTTTGATTGGTTACTTCCATGAAGATCCGAAAGGAAAATATGATAATGTATTATTTCATTAACTGAAGGGGAGGCTTTTACAAGACTGAAATACAATGTTATTATGTTTTCTTTTCTGATCTTTTCTCTGCTTTAAGTGGTTAAAAATGTATATTTACATGTTTATGTTCCACCAATTTATCATTATCTGCTGCAGATCGCATATATAGGTAGATATCTGTTGATACTGTTGTGTATGTCAAGCTCAGTGCACACCTTGGTCACAATTCTAATAACTAAATTTAAGGGATTTCTATAAAAATGTATTTATTAATATTTTAAGAAATATGGGCAGATATTGCCATTTTCAATATCTGTATCAGCCTCAAAAGTCCAGTATTGTTCCGGCTCTAGTCCACAGCTATTTCACAACTATACAAGACATTACATTCATTACAACTCGTTAATATCCACAGCAAATTTCACAGAAAACATCACTGTTGGGAGGTTTTACCCTGGCAATTATAGACCTTGAGACATTGTTACCTGGAATGAGGAGACCATGGCAGTGAGCATGAACTCTCTCCATCCAATGGCTGCAGTTGGCGAAAGACTGCTCACTGGTCAGGTCAAAAACCAGGCACAGCAAGGACAGCTCCCCCCACTATGGAAGGGAAGGCGATGGGTGATGATAAGGTGGGAAAGAAAATGAGATGAGATGAGTTAGTATAACATCAGCTTACTTGTTTCTTCTTCTGTGACAAAATACATAATACTTCAGTAGCTCCCCTGTGTTTGTACTCTATAAGGATGTGGAGCCCTGGATGGTGACTTTCACTAGTTTCGTGCAAATGGAAAAACTCTAGAGAAGCAATCTCACCATTTTTTCGCAGGCTTCCACTAATGTCTGCTTCCCTGCAGAGTCTATGATGTAGAGCTCCTGGAGGGGAAAGGCGAGAAGAGAAGGGAAGAGAAGAGGTGTTATACGTGGAGATTTAGTTAAATGACATGGCTTTAAACTTACTATTTTCTTTGGCGAGTGCGTGAATGTTCTTCTTACAATGCTGCTCTATTGCTTACTGAATACAGATGAGAAACTAACAGCATTAAATGTCAGGAAAGACTTCTTCCACACTGCGTGATGGATTCCAATTCGCACCACACACCTTCAGTGATTTAGAAACTTTTATTATTACAAAAAAATAAGGCCACAAACTTAGAAGCAGTGTGGTGGACACAGAATGAAGAAGAGACAATCGCTGGACTCACCACACTGTTGTTGGTCTCTGGGATGTTCACACATTTCATTAGCAGCTCCACTCCGGTTGTCTGCCAAACAAACACAACCAAGATGTTAATTATAATGCTGTTTATGTAACGTAAAGCTAAAAGACCTTCATGAAGCCTGCAGGCTGTCTCTACTTTTTTAATAACAGCAACATGACTGTAAGAAACTCACTGTAGTGAGTGTATTTTCAGCTACATTTTCTTATTTGTGAATGTTTTGGTTTCTTCAATTTTTCTTCAAAATCTGCAGTTAGTCAAATCAAATTGTATTTGTTCCTGTCAACATGAAGAGAAGAGTCATTTGGCTTTTACAGAGCTGACACCATACACAGTAGCACAACAAACTGTCTGGTTTGATTTATTGTTAATGTCTAAACATAAGCATCCCTAATTAGCAGCTTGGGTTGGTTTGAAAGCAGCTTCACTGTCCCGATGTTCAAATCCTGACTGAACCTTCTCTCCTGTGTCTCCATTACTCTGAATCTTATTATTCTTAATGTCTCAATGAAGAAAAAAACGCCTTTAGGGAAGGGACTATCAGCTCTGTTTAAGTCTATGAATGATACAAGCTCCAATTAAGACAAAGTGAGAGTCCTAATGGTTGAGATCTAAGAGTGGAGGTTTAAATTTATACAGCGTTGACAGTTACTACACACTGGTAATTTGGCTGGGGTTTGTAGCCTCCGTTAGGGCTGAAATAAAAATCCTGACGATGTAAAATTTTGACGGCCTGTATCAAACAAACATGTTTTCTTAAATCTGACACATGATTTATAGGGCAGGGATTCTTACAGCACTACAGGACTTTATTATAATGCTGTTTTGTCACACATTTTACCCTGAAAAATTGCAGCGATTTGTATTGTGCACTGCGATTTCGATAATATTTTGACTGATTGTGCAGCCCAAATGTCTGGTCATTTTGGAAGATCACTGACTTTGCTTAGAAGTTGTTTTCCCCATACGACAGCTGAGTTTCAGTACCGACGCTGATAAGGTTTTTCTACTAAACACTTTATTTTACACCTGCAATAAGCGATCTTTGGCCACTTCACGGCAGTGTTAACAAGCTGTAAATACAACACTGACGTATACATTCATATGGCTACACATCCAGCAGACATGGGCCAGCATTAGCATTCATTTGCAGCTGTGTTTGTGTTCCAATATGTATGTATAAATATTCATTCTCTTTTTAGCTATTTAAGCTCTTTCGCTCTCCACCAACTCCTGAGGGAAATCTCTGGCTCTTTAGCTCTCAGTGCTCCACTTTGTTCACCCCACCAGTCGCTAACTTTGTCGGTCTGCCTTTTGGTGCAGATCAGGTAGTGTACAGCAAGTTTTTAAAGTTTTGCTGATGAAAAAAACAGCTGTTTGTTGCAGTTGAAAACAACAATCATGAGAGCAGTGAGGGTGAATCAAGAGAGTAACTTTGCAGGCCAAAAAATCAGAACAGTGAGTTCAAAGACACTCTAAACGTTTGTAGAGCTTATTCTCTGTGTACTATGATTGAAGCCACAAAGAATAAGTAAAACAATTATGAAAAAATAAAATTTTTGGGACTTGACTTGTGGCTGCTTAGTCTCTTTTGGCAAACAAAAATAACCAGAAACGCTGTTTTTCGCTGCAGTTTAAAGCAAGTGTTTGAGCTTTAGTGCAGAGTCAAAAGCAGTTGAGATTTGTTTTTTTTTTATTAATACAGGGCAAATAGAGGAGGTAGATATAGAAGAGATAGACTGCAGGCAGTAGAGGGTAAGGAGGATATGATAAATATGGTCCTATCACGGATGCACGTTCTTCACAAGCTTTGAGATCTAATGAAGTCCTAAGTGGACTGGATGGTTGCAAGCTGCCTTTCACCTCTACGTATCTGCTGGTGTGAGATCAGTGGTGACCTTGAAGAAGCAAGTCGAGGTTTCTTCACATCAGCACCAAACTCTTAATTGATCTGATCTCCTGAGCTCACACTTGACTGAGCGTGTCAAATGCCAAGACCAAAATTCTGAAACACACACACACACACACACACAAACATACCTTTCACAATCACTGCCTCTGCGAAACACACACACTTCCGACCAACGTTTACCTGATTCATACACAAAATCAGTTCATAACAAGGATCCAATGGTCCACATACACACAGATGATGTGGCAGCACCACTTCGGAGCGGCCTAATGAGCTGGTGTGATGCATAGGAAGCCTCTCGCTGGAATGTCAATGAGGGCCTATTAGTAACAAATAAGCTTGGAATATTGCTAACGGCCCGTCTGACATTTTCAAAGGAGGACGTGAGCAGAATGGCCGACAGCCTCCGCTACCCTTCAAAATCAAAAGTTGAAGAACATGAGGGATGACTTAGGTGTCTGCACAAGGAATAACTCTTCACAGTGCTGGTTTCCTTTTCACATTAGTCACAATGGAAAGGACACGCTGTCCCTATTTCAACCTGCTGCGAAGTCTTAAGGAGGAAATCCAACCTGAGATAGATAGATAGATTTATCGCTGCTTGGTAATGCAGAGGTGCACTCGCAATATACCAATATCAGTTTCAGTCATGAGTGTTAGCTGATGCGGTTATAGTGTTGTAAGTGTGCACAAAATGGTATAAACAACATAAAGACCCCTTTTTTAAATCACAGGGGCTATTGTCCGAAAGGTAACAGTACATTAAAGTAAATCTCCTTGGGAGTGCAAATGTGCTCATCCAATCTAATGGCAATCTGACGATTAATAGACTATGGGGATATTTTAACATTTTTGCCTCAGAATGGTTCTCAATGAAAGCACACAGAGTGTCCAGATGGAAGGGGTTCATCCTCTTCGGAGCATTAAGGAGGTCAGTACATTTAACGTCAGTCTGTCCGATTAGATTTTGCAAACTGTGGTGCATGAATGAAGGTCAGATGTCATGAAAAAATAAACCAGATTCATCCTGTGGAAACCAATATCCACAGCAGATCTGACAGAAAACATCACGGACAAACGTGTTGGATGAGAGGGAAGCTTTACCTTCAGAGTGGTGTGATTCTAACCAGTAGGATTTCTAAATGTTTCTAAGGTTGCAGTTCAGAAGATAACTGAACTATTGCTACTCTCACTACCATTATGGATGTACAGAACAACTGTTAATATTTATATTAACTCCTGGATCAAAAATGTATAGCTTTACAGCTTTCAAGAGTTCAGAGTTCATCTTATACGAAGCACTTGGCGCCGAGTGAGCACGAAGTTAAAAATATTTTAAATAATACCAAGAAAACGGCTGGCTTCAAATAGGTGTTTTAACAGTTGCATAGCAACAGCAGAGACCGTGACCGACACTATCCCATGAGCATTTGTTTCAGTGCATCTCATCTACAGTTACACATGCTAACATGCTTTTACCTTTTTTTTTTTTAAAACACGATTTCATTTCTATGTTGTGTATTTATTTCATTTGTTTGTGCAAGTTCAGCAAGCACATACAGTGTACTAGGCCAGTGCGAATTAAAAATGCAACACTATTGCAGCACCTTTCTACTCAGTTAATTCTCTACTAGTCCAACCTGAACAGACACGTACAGCATCACAAACAAGTGGGTTCCTATGCAGTATGGAGAAACTCAACACTGTTGCTGTACAGTGTGTGTGTGTGTGTGTGTGTGCTTGTTAAGTACCTGTTCTGGTGGCTTTCCAGAATCCTGCTGTATTAATTATCGACGTTCCTGTCACCTCAGAACCCCCGATACTGCTGACACAGCAAGAGCTGAACAAACACACACACACACACACACACACACACACACACACACACGGCTCTCATCCGGTAATTTACCCACCAACCTGTTCTGTACCGTAACCAGCGACAAGACTTAATAGTAAACTCGTAAATGAATGTGTGTAAGTTAAGCCCAAGTGCATATGTTTACGTTCACATGTGAATGCATGCACTGTCATTTAGTCAGTAGCCCTTGAAAGTTTGACAGAGGGACTCAGTGAGCAGCCATGACCCCATATATCACAGAGTCAGGTTAATGACACAGTTCCCTCCCTCACGCAGATTAGCATAAATAATGCAGATTAGCCTTCTCTGCATCAGCATTAATTGGTACATTATGCTGTTTTGCACTTCAGTGATTCCTGTAGTAGATTTAAGAGACCTCTGCAGGTGCTTGAAAAGCCTGCAAGGAGTTCCACTAAAGGAACTAAACATATGTAGGGATGTAACGATACACTCACGATTCAATACGACAAATTATAACTGAAAAAGATTTTCTCAGACAAAAATCTACAAAATATATTTTCTTTATTAACTTGTAGAATCCTTTTTTTATTCCTGATTTTGGGTATAAACAATGCATATTTCCTTTTGTGAAATGAAACTGATGTCTTTACATTGAACCTTCACATATTTGTATCACGATTTAACATTCCTGTACAGATGTAATATCATTGTGATCATCAGTGACCATAATTAGTGTTGATGATTTGCAACTGGTACATAATTACTTCTTGGCAAAATGAACCAATATTAAATTGGATATTTCAGTAATTATTACACCTCACTGAAAGTATTGACTGAGTACATTTGAAATATGTCACTGTAAGCTACATTATTAATTATACAACCCTGCTTTACAAGTGTTTTATTACTGCTCAACTGCACTGTCTATGTCTATAGTGTAAGATAAGATAATTCCTTTATTTATTTATTTTTCTACTTTGGCAAAGCAGCGCAGAAAACAGAAATCAAACAATATCACAGAAAAAATATTGCTAATATTATTAATATTAGAAGATATAAAAAACTAATAAAATGGAAAGTACTATAGCACTAATTTGTTGTTCAAGTAGGACACGGAGTCCAAAATATGAGCAGAAAATTTTACTTGAAAAAAAACTAAAACTAAACTAAAACTACTAAAGTGGAAATTAAATATAAATAGTGCAAAAAGGTTTGTGCGTTGTAGGAAGGAGTCCTAAACCCGCCTGCTAAGACGTCTACAGGTTTGACAGAGTTTACAGAACTTTACTGTGAACAAAGACGAGGTGAAAGTGTGCAAACTAAAGCTTAAACGTAGCTGAATAACCCACCGATTAGTTGCTGTAGGAAAATACTGTCTTATTAAATAAATAAGACAGGAATGAACTGAATACCGGATAAATGACCGTGTGATATGAGTACAACAGTGTGTGGGGTGCTCCACATACATTGCAGTATATGTGGAACTGCATGCGCCTGCTGTGGGACATTTAACAGCACTACAGCAGGGATCAAACCAGCAACCTTTCAGTCCCTTTGTGTCCATGCTCTCACCATGCTGTAGTTCTTCTGGAAGAGAGTACCATCGCTGTGAAACATATGGGAAAGAGCAGTTTTCCCCACTGCAGCATCTCCTGCACACACATGCAGACAGAAAGACAGAGGCACAATCATCTTTAATCATTTCTCTGCTTTCCTGAGTCCAAGCCTGCCTGCTCAATGTGTTTACTGAGTGCTTTATCACTTACAAATTAAAAATACAGACAGATTTACCAGCACGGTCATTTTGTTTCTAATGCAAATGAGTTATTGCTGGTTGCACAGACGCACTGAATCGGATTAATCTTTTAAACACAATGTTTTTTACGTTTAGCAAAGTGTTAGACAGAAGACCATTTATTTATCTCTCGTGTTTAAACGCAAAAACTGAACTGAATACAGCAGACTGGTTAGCTTTAGCACTTGTGCCGTAAAGCTGCAGCAGCAGGAGGGACTAAACCTTACCGACAAGCAGACACCTCGCCCTCAGCTTCACCATTAGCGTGGATAACTTCCAGACACTGTAAATAAAACCTCTCGTTTCATTAATGGCGCTAAATGAAGCTCTACTTTCTGTTTTTTTTTTTTTTTTAGCTGTCTTCCTACTTGCACCTCGGCAACATGGACACAACGCGTCTCTTAGCAACCAGACACAGAGGCGTTTTATTGGTCAATCCAGTTAGCGCGTAGAGCCCGTGGCTGTGCTCTGATTGGCTGGATGTGAGGACGTAACAAGAGTCTTGGTGCGTGGGATATTTTCCCCCTGAGAAAGTCTGACAGGCGAGCTTCCTCAAACTGTGTGCAGTTAACGCTAGTAAGGGTAAGATTGGGGTACCAAAACGCCAAGCATAGCCCCAATTTGTTAACCTAGTGAAGCTTGTTGGTCGGGCACGGTTATACGGTACATGGGAGAAAGACGTGCCTGACAGTCTAATCTGTGGCGAGAAGGACTCAGGCAAGGCCCAGTGACGCCACCAGAGGGCAGACTTTCTTTCTTTCTTCTTCTCAGCATAACAAATCACTTTACCTTCACATGGACTTAACAGTTTTTCGTTACTGTATCGTTTTCAAATGTATTATCCTATTGTAATGGCAGTTTTCACACAGAATACCCCGAGTCAATTAATAAGACAGCTTAATCTTTAATGATATAACTTAAGTTATATAACTTAGCTTTATTGAATATACTTCTGGTTGAATTAACTTGATTTCTCCTCTTGTGTGCTGTGTGCTGTGTGTTGGAGGGGGTGGAAAAAAAACCCTTCAAACAAATAGGAAAGCGCGTGACTCCTTGTGGCAGTCTTAAACGCACGAGCTGGCGCCCCTTCATAACCACGTGCGTGTGCTCGCTACGTGTTTTCTCCGGCGCTGACACACAACGGAGGCGCGTTCACGTGTTCGCCACCGGCTCCTGCGCTGCGAGAGAGAGAGAGAGAGAGAGAGAGCGAGAGAGCATCACCAAAACACTGGCATACAGCGTCCTCTGGCCGGATATCGAGAGAGGACAACAGGGAATTCAGAGGTTAAATTAAAAACAACAACAAAGGAGGACACGGGAGGCTGTGCGCCGGGGAGAGACTCGAGCATCCATCCTCGCAGCAGCAGCAGCAGCAGCTCGTGATACCGTTTGTAGTAGCAGGAGCAGATTCGGGGATTGTCCGTGTCGGTTGCCCGGTGCTCCACACACCCTGTGCCTTTGAAGCAGCAGCGGGGAGGAGGGGAGGACCAGAGAGGAGGCTGTGCAGAGAGGAGGAGGAGGAGGACCATGGAGGGGATGCAGGCATACGGAGCCGGGAAAGCCGGAGGAGCCTTCGACCCCGTCACCTTCTTCCAGCAGCCTCAGACCATTCTCCGCATAGTGTCTTGGGTGAGTGAGCGCTCCGGTACGAGGCAGGCAAATGTCAAAGAAGTTTGTTGGTTACAGCTGGAGAGTGGCTACACAGGTCACTTATAAATACCCTTATTATACACCTTATTATAGGCGCACTTTACACGTGCATATACGTTAAATGTTGGTTTGAATGACCCTCTTTGTATGTGTTTATGTACAAAGGGCCCATATGCTGGGAAATGACAGATTCCTATGGGAATGCAGGATGCAAAATACAGCATATCTTGATTTATGGTATTTTCTTCCTATTTTATTAAACCAAATATACACATATTATATGTTTATCTCCCTTTGTATGTGGTACTCAATATAGGGTCTCTGTTGTGATGTAGGCCCAGAGTTGGACCTGATCACTGTTTGTAACCTTCTCCTGTATGTGCATTTGTCAGCAGCTAATGTTTTCTAATAAACATAGTGAGAACACACAGGCGGAATTTCATAACAAATAATTTCATAATTTCATAATAATTGCCCACCCTCCCTTCCCCAAGGAGGAGGAGCACCAACGTAAAGGGAAAGCAACAGTAGAGGAAGGATGGTGAACAAATGGCAACAAAAGTCTCCAAACTCC